GAAAACAGGTTCGGTGCAGTATATAAGTCAATAACAAATACATGAGGTCAAGCCATTTCGACCCGCTCGCCTCACAAACCGCCGAGGAACCGCGGCTGAGACCAGGACTTTGGGGGGGAGGAGGCAGGGGGTTGGTGGGTGGGGATCATAGTCTCGCAGGATGTGAGAGTGTGCGGCGGGGGCGCGGAGAGGGCAGCCAGAGACCAGGGCATCGGAAGTGCGGGGGCCGCGGGTCGGGGGCAGGGTAACTTTTCAACTTAAAGGGAAAAGAGTGCGGGAAACTGCGAAAAAGCTGGTGGGAAGGGCGGCAGCAGGTTGAAGAGCTGTTACTGTTTAGGTTAGTTGGTCAGTCAGCAGGGTCGTTTAGCGGGATAGGTTTCCACGAGTCCCCAGTAAGGAGGTGTAAAGGAGGGAAGAAGGTAAGGATGAACCTCAACATGAAGCCATCGATACCAATAATCCAATTTCAGCCGGTTCATTTCGGCGCACTGGCGGCACGCCCCTCTCAGCGCGCCTGTGAGGTACGAGATAGGCCAGCCCGCATGACACCCGTGCATTGCATTGCCTACCGTGCCAGGCGCTACAGCGCGCCTGTGAGGTACGAGGTAGGCCAGCCCGCATGTCACCCGTGCATTACATTGCCTACCGTGCCAGGCGCTACAGCGCGCCTGTGATGTACGAGGTAGGCCAGCCCGCATGACACCCGTGCATTGCATTGCCTACCGTGCCAGGCGCTACAGCGCGCCTTTGAGGTACGAGTAGGCCAGCCCGCGAGACGCCGGTACGACACACTGCCTAGGCGCTACCATCCTCCAGCGTGCCTTCAAGGTCGAAGACATGCGAGAAGGGGCGGATGTTGCCTACTGAGCCGGGCGCCCTTGGCAGAAGGACCGGACCGGGATCCACTTTCAGCGACTAAAAGGATATCAATCAATTTTTTTCTACTTCCTCCTTGCTACTTTGGGCTACGCAATAGGCCCATCTGTAGCCGTTTATGCACCACCCTTGCCTTTGAGCCCCCCTTTCCTTTCTCGGCTCGGCCGGGCCAGAGAGGGAAAAAAAATCGTGCCCGCCGTGCGGTTTTCACCGCTATTGATACGCTACCTCCTCGTCTTACACGCGCGCTTCCCCGCCGAGCAGGCGGGTGGGGACGGGCGCCCTGCAGGCACGGGAGCCTTATGAAAATCCGCCGGAAGATACTGCTTGCATTCCTCGCCCCCTCCCAGTGAGGCTGGCGGAAGCCACGAGGATCTCGGCCCCGCAGCACCAGGAGTCCCAGAGGGAAGGCTGAGGGGGGCCTTGAGAGCAGCCTGAGGGGAACCTGATAGGGGGCTGGGAGGGGATGGGTAGGTACGGCGCACCACGGCCGGGGACTCAGACAAATCCCATTCAGGTGGCTCGTCGCACACGCCCGGGGACGCGGCGCAGCGCAGGGCGGGAGG